TTAATCGGATCGGCCGAAAAATCATTCGGCCAATTTTTATCAGGTGTTCCAGAAATTATGAAAATAGCAGTAAATCAGGTATTTTTTTTTAAAATTCTCATTTGCTACGAGACGGCTAATATTATATCGGGAGCTTTTATTTACTATGTGAATACAATATTATGTCGGGTAGAGTTTAAAATTCTTATTTGCTTATGAAGATTAAAATTAGGTTGGGTGGTTTTTAAAATTCTCATGTCCCGGATGAAGACTATTAAGTCGAAAGGTTTTAAAATTCTCATTTGTTGAGAGAAATAATATTATATTTGGTAGTTTTTTAAATTTTATTTGTTGGGTGAAGACTAATATTAGGTTGGGTGACTTTTTATAGTTCTAATTTGCTGTTTAAGATAATATTAGGTCGGATAGTTTTTTAAATTCTCGAAACTATTAGCTTTTTTGTAATTTAAAAGACATATTATTTATTTCTAAATAATAACTATAATTTATCATATGGTTAACACGTGATTATATCGTATAGTTACATTCATCGATTTGACCAATTCAATCTTGGGCAAATAGCAATAGGGCACCTCAGTATTGGTTATCAAACAAGAGCTATCGTAAAATGTAAAAGAAGTAACTCTGATTTGCTAAAATTGATTATTTTTTGCACTGGCGCTATCATTACGCGCACAACTTTTTATAACAACTATATACATCAACCATTATAACCATCTTTTCCCCATTCTTATAACAATTACCAACTGCATACATTTCACCAGCATGTCCTATTTTAACAGTTTTTGATAATAAATAATTACTTTATGTTCATCCTTTTCGACTCCAATTCCTTTTTTATAACTGTATATTCCTCTAGAGTTTTCTATATCAGCTGCCTTTTGACAATAAGTAAATGTTTTATATTTATCCTTTCAACTCCAATTCCAATTCCATAATAACCAATACTGTATTATATATTCCGCCAACATGCCCCCAATCGGCTGATCTTTTATAAAAAATAAAATACTTTATGCTCGTTTTTTTTCAATTCCTATTCCACTGAATTTCCCATATTAGCTGATTTTTGGTATTGAATAAACGCCTTGCGTTCATCCTTTTCGATTCCAATTCAAATTGATAATAACTACCAAGATTGTTCTATACATTCCAAGTCGTTACCCATATCTGCCGATTTTTGACAAGATTCAAATGCCTTATGTTCAACACTAAATCATTTTTATGTTGAAAGTCAAGGCAAATCATTCCGTTGGAATCTCCCATAATAGCTGATTCTAGATAGTCAATAAATTTTTTATAACTTCGATTTCATTAAATTGTGGACGAGATCTTTATGAATAACATTATAATAATTAAATTTTATTAGAATATTGTATTGTAAATAAATCTAAAAAAAAATTCACAATTATCACTTATCAGAAACTGTACAATAATATTGCCTAAACTTATTATCAAAAATAATAGAATTTGGAAGAACAATATGTCTACTACAATAAATTGCTTCGTGATGCATCTTTAAATGTGAGTGTTCTGATATGCTAAGTGGCGAACAGTTTCAAGTTTCATCAACCATCTTTATTTGTGCAGTGAATTCATTCGATTCATTGCTTAAAATATTATTATTCCAAATGCTTATATTGTCACATATTTCTTTTGAAATTGGTATTTTTCCTGGACAAGTATTCCAACACTTAACGATCAATTCAGCAACTAACTTTGGTACGTGTGTCAGTATGCTTGGACGTAAACCACGATGAATTTCACGAGCCAAATTAAGACCATGTGAAACATCATGATTGCTAGAAGACCTGATACCACTTTATGTGCTATAATACTAAAAGAATATACACAGATGCCATGCGATATTCTTATTATATGTCACGGCTGATGCTGATTTTGGGGCCTATTTTAATACAATTTTTATAATTTTTTGGGGTATATTTTTTTTTAGCTTTTTTTAATAGTTGGACTAGGATTTAGGGTTAGAATTGTTAATCAAAGAGTATATGTGGGATTTAGTAGATGTAATGGATCTAAATTGAGACCCAAAAATCAGCATCAGCCAAAATCAGCATCAGCCGTAACAATATGGGGTCTTTGCCTTGAAAATCAAATATGGGACATATGATTTACTATGTCCCATAACTTGATTTTCAAGGCAAAGACCCCATATAATACTTCAGGTGCTATATATGGTACTATGTCGCATATTTCATTATTTGTTCCCGCATCGGTTAGTACGTATTACAAGTCCTAAGTCTGCAATATGTACACAATGAAACTTATTCAATAAAATATTTCCGCCATGTAAATCTTCTATGAATGAATTTTTGAGACTGAATTATTCAAGATCAGAAGCAATGCTATGCAGCAAGGTTATTTTTTTCATTTTAATTTGTCACGTAAAAACCCATTCTAGCATAATTCATAACAAGAATATAATCTTCAGAAGCGTCATCTTTTGTTATACAGATATATTTTAAAAAGGTTGCATTTTTAAGATTTATATCACAATATATCTTTAAAAAATTATTAAAAGTAAAATTAATTCAAAAACATATGATAAATTTCAAAATGTTTTAGAAATTTTACCGCTTTTTCAAACTCTTTATTACAACATTTTAATCAATGAATTAATTTAAATACGACATCTATTTCAGTGTAACTGTTGTGATTTAGCCATCGAGCATGAAATACGGTTGCAAACTTGCCTTTTCCTAGTTCTCTAATATTTTAAATTCATTATAAGGAATCCAAGACAATTGATAATTATTTTCGATCAACATTTACTTCAAATCGTTTTTAATATCAGAACTATTATATACCCATTCACACGTGACTAACAATGAGTATGAATCCCGTTAATTTTGAATTCTTGAAATATTATAATAGAATCAATAAAAATAAATGCTTTATGTTGGATTTTCCCCTTCATTTCATGATTTACTCCGAAAATCTGCAAAATTTTCTAATTTTAACACTTTTTTACAAATAAATCTAATTATTTTGCTTACAAGTAAAATTTTCAAAAAATTTCTGATTTCCACATTTCTAATACCGTATTTAGTAATGCACAAGAATTAGCTTTAGATTTGGCTAAGTAATATTGGGAATTTGGATACTACTAATCATAAAGAAATTATAATTTACAAAACAGCTTATATCACTGTGAAACCGTCTATATTCAATTATAAGTTATAAAATTTTACTTGAATGTCGAAAATAATCTTAAAAAATCGAAACTGACATGTTGATATTGAGAAATCTTCGCTCAAAATTGAAATTTGGATAATCCTAGAAATAAAATTAAATGGTGTCATTTTTAGCTAATCAGAGGCTTGTATGTTGATATTAAATTCCAAATTCCTGATTATAAGTGATGTGTGATGCGTGAAATTTGATGGTCACACTAACTTGAAAAGCGTTTCATTCAAGAAACCTAATAAAAGAAATTATAGCAGATTAGTATAGTATAGGCTGAAATTAAAACCTATACTATACCGATCAGCTATAGTTACTAACCCTAACACTAATATATCTAACACCGATCAGTATAGTATAGATTCCAAAATTCGACCTGATCTGCTCGCCTATACTATACTGACCTATGTAATTTAGCTAATAACTCGCATTTTCACCGTCGGAATTCGATAAACATACGTATGTATAATGTTGTACATTTTAGCTGTTCCAAGCTTTTTGATTTTGTTCAGTGACGTTCATCAATTTCTCAATTTTTAACTTTAAAGCTATAGAAAAAAATAATACTAATAATCATAATAAAATATATTAAAATTACATTTTAACTGTTTATACATGAGCCAGAACAAAGATTCTTAATAAATCTTGAGTTATTTGCATATATTTTTTTTAACCTCGTCCCAACTGTCTTATGTATAACACTGCGTACGTATATATGTATAGCAAGGTGTAACAACACGATAAATATTTAATTTCTAAACTTTTAGTTATTATAAAAGCATGTTATTTCGACATATGTTTTGGTTTAAGAGTTACCATGGATAAAAAGGCATTTGAGTGTTATTTGGAAGTTGCTGAAGGCGGTAATTCGGTTTGACAATTTAAAGTTGGAATCTGCCATACCGAAGGTATAGGCACAGATAAGGATGAAAAAAAGGCATTTGAGTGGTATTTGAAATCTGCTGAAGGTGGAGACCTGAAAGGACAATTTAATGTTGGATGGTGTTATCAAAATGGTATCGGCACAGATAAGGATGAAAAAAAGGCATTTGAGTGGTATTTGAAATCTGCTGAAGGTGGAGACCTGAAAGGACAATTTAATGTTGGACTCTGCTATTACGAAGGTATGGGCACAGATAAGGATGAAAAAAAGGCATTTGAGTGGTATTTGAAATCTGCTGAAGGTGGCAATTCGAATGGACAAAAC